TATTTGTTGGTTAGTTGGGTCCAGATGACCCATCAGGAAATTTTTTTAATTATGAATGACATAAGAAGAGTAGGACAAATAAAATAAATTTTAGTTTAGACTGAGCATTAAAATCACCTGGGTGGAGATACTTTTTTACAAAATGGAAATTCAATATTATCTTTTAAAATCATTCCCATCACAACTGCAGTAAAGTTACTTTGAATAGCTTGTGCTGATAAATATCCAGAAGATTATATAGAAAATTCTTTACTAGAAAAAAGAACTTAGATATAAATAAATCTTTCCCACCATCCTTCTCTGTATTTACACTAATTCTCAAATCTCACAGCCCATTACCATGTATCTTTTGATGACTTCAGTTTTGAGATGAACTACTAATACTGCCAGATACAACAGAAAGCTTCCTACAAATGATAATATGGATAAAGTGGAGTCAATAGCTTTTTTTTTTGCAATTTTCCCAAATAATAACAGCATAAATGCTAATAAAAATTAGTTACTATACTTGGTATGTTTCAAAATTTATAGCTATTATTCTAATGTAGGAAGAAAACTTATCACCTAGAACAAAAAATTATGTTATCCTCTCATACTGATCAGGATGATCTGTTATTTAGAAATCACACATCTCATTAGATATTAGGAAATATTATTAAACACAAGCTATTACCACTGTGTGCAGTTTTATAATATCTGGTCCAATTTCCAAAGTCAAAATTAACTCATATACTATAATATGATGAACTTTGGTGGCTAGGTCAATTCATTCTTTAGTTAGAATGCTGATGTATTGGGGAAAAAAATCTTGACCCTAGGTTCTCTTGAAGAACCAGCTTCAATAATAACCAGATACAGCCTTGTTTTCAAGTAGGTGTTTTCACGAGACAAATAGGCATTTTGAAAGTCAGACAAGTCTCTATCAGTGCCTAACTGGATTTCTAAGGATATGGATTTATATTTTATAAAACATAAGCATATATGAATTTATAGACTGTGTGTGCATTTTCGTATAAAATCTCAATGCCTATAGTCCAATTTTCATCTGAAGTCCAGCAAAATAGCTTTAGAGAATTTCCTGAGTGACAAACAGTCCTCCATTTATTTATGAAGTTTTATCCTTTTAAAAAGTCAAGCTATCAGAAAGCAAGGTACTTTATAGCATTTCACCTAAATAAGGAATAGCATTACTGTCAATGAAATGTACACTTGTATCTTGCCATGAGTAAGTAAGCACCTAGCCTTCAAAAGGCCCTGAATATGTGTTCTGAGGAGAGTAGAGGAGAGGGAAGAGGAGAATGGCTGATGAAGAAAGAGCCACAGGAAACTGGTATGTTCAGAGTTCTCTATAAGAACACTGCTCAATACTACATTTGCCTTTTATAAAGATCCACTAGCAAAGTATTTTAACAAGTTTGCCTTTAGCTAGTGAGAGAAAAACACTACTTTAGCTTATGAAAAGTTTCATGAAAATATTTGCACCAAGCTTTCACCACCAGAAAGTCCCATACCTATACATCAACTTTAATTTTTATTCATATCTTATTAAATATTCAAGCTTGTGTTTACCTTGTATTTCATAGTTTATTTTGTATTTATTTGCAATACTGTACACATTGGGATACAGGAAAGTAAATAATCCTCCTCTCTCTAAATTTAGAGGTATTATAGTTAGTAATCCTGATTATAAATGAATATAAATACCTAAGATAGCTCTAAAATTCAACTAAAATGTAAATGCAATTCAAGATTCATATATTTATTTCTAAAGTATGCAGTAATAATTTAATATAAATTGTCATGCATGTTTTCAAACTGAAGCTTAACTTGCAAAGGATATTTAAAAGTAAGGGGTTTTGATATGAAATGTTTAATGTCATATAATTACTCAGCATGGTTTATCAGATTAAAATAATTCCCAGACTTTCTGTTGTCAAATTCATATGGAATTATTGTGTGTGGGGTTATCAACAAACCAAATGCTTTATATTTGGTATGAAAAATTCAATCAAAATTGTCAAAGATCAAGCTGCTACTTCTGATAACAAACATGATGAGATATCATCTTGCTTAATATATGCTTTCACGTTGACATGTAGGCTAATAAAAATATGAAGTTGTAGTATTTATTTTGTGCCTAGCACAACAGAAGGCTCCTAAGAGAGATGATCAAAATACCCAATATAATTGCATGAAAATACAGTCGACTCTTTATCTGGAGACAGATTAACTGGTTTGCAGAGTAACTGCAGTAAAATAATAACAGCATGTATTGCATCTGTACAAGATGTTAAAATTGCTAGGTATCTGTAATTGTATCTCAATGGAAAGTATGTCTATTTTTCAACTACAAAACAAATATGACACAATAAACAGTATCTATTGCAATAAATTCATTCAGCAGCTATTTATTGAGTATTTATTATGTATCAAGCATTGTTTTAAGCTCTCCACTTCATTAATCAGACCTAGTCTCTGTTAACAGGCATGAAGCAGGGCTCGCAGCAAACTTTTGGTGAGTTAACTATATTTCTGAGATGTTCAAAACCTAGAGTGGAACAGACACTTTGTGCTAGGAAACAAACCCCAGTAGATCTGCTGGTGTATCTTTTAACTTCTCCCATAACTTACTGTTCACCTTGTTTTGCTTTCTTTCTCAGGGAAATTCTGAACTTGGCAGTCTCCCTTGCCTCTTTATCCAGCCTCTCATCACTACATCATGACAGTTCCCCAGATGTTGTTGAAGTTATACACTTCCATCCATCCCCCTCTATCATTCAACATCAAATACCACTGTCACTGCCTTACCTTGACATCTCAAAGACAGTGACTATTATATAGTAGACATGCAAATATTTGCTAAATAATTGAATAAGGCATCTTAAACCAGATGTCCTTTAAGAGGTGAAGGTAAACGAGAGGAGAACAACATATGCTGAACTCATTCCCTCTTGAGCAACCACCTCACACATGTCAGTAACGATATCAGCCACCAGTTGGCTAAGCTAGCAACAAGAAAATTATCTTTTATGCCTCACTTCTTCTTCACCTCCCACACCATCTTTCTTATCTTTTTTCTGTTTTCCTCTCACTCTTCTAGTTTCCATACTTCATATTAGCTGGTCACTCAGTATAACCCTCTAACTCAACTTCCCTACCACTACCCTGTCCATCTCTCTCTCTCTTCTCTCTCTCTCTCTCTCTCTCTCTCTCTCTCTCTTTCTGTGTGTGTGTAGCCCTTTCTCCATATAACCTTACCATAATCCTCTAACCCAGAGTTGACCAATAGAACTTTCTGCAGTGCTGGAAATGGGCTGTATCTATGTGGCCAACATGTATGGACACTGAGAACTTGGAAACTGACAAGTATGACTAAAAGACTAAATTTTAATTAAACTTAAATAGTCATATATTCTTAATGGTAGTAATACTTGAGAGTGCAATTTAACCTTCTTATACTTTTTAGATAAAATTATCTTCCTACAAAGCATCTTGTCATATTACTTGTTTTATAGTACTAACATATACAATTTCCACCACTAGAGATGGTATTCAAGCCTCTTCACCATTTGCACCAGTTTCTTATCCCAGTCCTATTTCTGCCCCCTCCCTGTCCCATGTAAGAGTCAAAGGTACTGGACCACTCATGATACTCACACATGCCACATCATAAGCCCCTATGCAATCTTCTTTCTCCTGCTTTGAATGCCTTTTTCTCTGTGTCCAAAGAAGAATAGAAACTTGAGGTGGATACTAAAAGATGAATAGATATTTCGTAGAGAAAAAGATAGATAACCCTGTTGTCATAACATTTTGCATATAGTTCCACTTAAGAGCTTATCATAATTAATGATTTACAAGTAGAAAATATGAGATCCACATAAGCCAGGTAAATAATCACCTACATTAACAAGATAATATGATTAAAGCATCTACCACACGATTTTACCGAGTTAAGTACTCAATGGATGAGGATTCTCCAGTATATATTTCAGGAATTGTGTCACCCTTAAGAAGGATCTTAAGCTAATGCAGAAGTCTGGGGCAACCAAGACAGGAAAATAAGAAGATATAAATTGTAGAGAGGAAAAGCTTACACTACTAACAATGAAGGCTTAGGTCAAAGAAACTGTGTGAGAAAATTCATGCAAACACCAAAGGAATAACTATTCAGTAACCCAGAGCTAAAGTTGAACTTGTTTCTTACCTCACCAACCTAACTGGCAATAGCAATAATCAAATTCCTTAATCAGAGACTGCAGATATCATAGGTCAAGAACAAGAGAAAACTTTTCTTGTGAGGTGCAACTGAGAAGAATTTGTTATTAGCAGATCAATAAGGCACTATTATTGTGGCTCACGCCTCAGGAAACAGCCTTGTTGCATAAAACACTGAATACATTTGTTGGAAGGAAATTCTAAAAAAATGGAAGCATATAGGAGAAAAAACTCTGAACTTACTCAGTTTTCAAATCCTCTAAAATTATAATTAGAAATCATTTAAACTCATCGATGACACTTGAAGTAATTTTTTTCCCAAAAAAATTATTCCCTTTCATTTATAAAGCAGTCTTCTTTTGCTCTCCTTTTAGTGTTGTAAAAAGCAATTCAGAGACTAAATACTTAGCAGTAATAATTTAGGTAATCCTAAGATTTATTCAATATATATCATATGCAGATACCTGAACTAAATAAATATAGTTTAAATAATATTTTTGTTGTTCCACTTCATTGGTTTGAGAAAGCAGAGCTTTACGATATAATTTTGTTATTAAACAAAATCCTTCAGTTGGATTTGCAGATCAGAGAAAATTAATATTTGGATTTAGTTCAGAGGTTGAGTAAATTAGCTCAGTTCACTCTGGGTTTTGAGTTCATGGTTCAGTTCAAGTTCTTGATAATGAGCTCATCAAAATAAAATATTTAAATAATGTAATCAGGACTGACATTTAAGAGCAAGTGTTCAGGCAAATACGTGTTTGAAAAAAAAACAAACTCACTTTACAGAGAGAACTAAGGTTAAATCCGAAGGTTTGAGCATTCCGGGAGCCAGCATTCATATAGTTTCCCATTAGCAATACAAGTTCCAGCAACTTGCTAAAGCTTTTGCTCTTCTTTATCTCTTCGCAGGCAGTACTGACAGCCATGATGTCAGGTTTGATGTTGTTCACCTGCTCTTCAAACTGCAGCTTAAAGAGAATAGCACTGAGCCGTGGCCGTAGTCTCTTCACATTGCTCATCTGATTGAAAAGAAAATAGCAGATTTCCTTTAAAATGCATGGTATACTTTAGTACTGTACGGCTGCAAGTAATCTGGGATGATTTATTGGTATGACAGTACGGAAGAAGCAATATGTCCCTGAAACTGATGGCAGGAAGAGAGAAAAGCTCTGCTTATTTTGTAAGGAATCCAGAGTCATCCCTCAAAAACAAAATTAACAATTTAGATGTGAAATGAAAAGAAAGCTTTAATGAAACAGTGAACTTTAATTAAATAATGTGTAAACATATTTTTTTGAAAAATGGAATTGTAAAAACCTAACAGGATACATAAGCAACAAATTATAAAGCATTCATACCAATACTTTAAAAAAATCTTTGTTCAATACTGAAATATACTAGGTCATGTTTAAAACATATTCAGAAAGGTCTCAATAGGGTTTATTTGCTTCAAATAGCAATTGCTGTCCTCAGAAGCCCTGCTGACTAACAGTATGTGTTAGATAGAGGGAGAGTAAATAGGTCCCAATTTGTACTAAATTGACTTTCTTCAGAAACACAGAGAGTAGAATGACTCCTGACACATACTAAATTAGCAGAATCAGAGTTAGGAAACACAGGCATAGCAGCAGACAGAAGTGCTGCAAAGCCACCAGTCTATCACATGCCATGTTAACCCTATCTGGAGCTCTAGATTTCTCCTTGGGAATGTGGGGGAGTGGAGGTAATAAAAAGAGCAAACCCTTACCTTTCAGCTCACTTCCCCTCTTCTATCAAAACACATGAGGAGAACAACCACTTATTTGTAGACTAGAAACCTACAACATTTAGGCTAGTTATGAATTCCTTGACTGAAAAGAGCTTAGTGAATTTAGTGATTTAAACTTAAGTCACACTGGAGGGTCAGTAACAGTAAAGGCAAAGGCAGTGAAAAAATAGTGACCAAATAAAGCAGGGTGAAAATAGACAATTTCCCTTTGTCACAGATGCCAAAGAAAAAGCTAATGCAATGCTAAATGTAGGATAAAAAATATAATGAAAATCATGACTGCTCAAGAGACAGAATGTGACAAAATATAGATAAAACAAATATAAAAATTATTATTTAAAACTGAATAGGGCTAAGGTGTAGATCAGTGGTAGAGTGCCTGCTTACCATGCACAAAGCTCTGGGTTCAACACCTAGAACTTCAAAAGAAAAAAAAAGCCACAATAGAATACACAAAAGCTTAGTGGACGCCAATATTACAAGGCTCAGCTAAAAAACCTGAGCAATAAAGAACTCTCAGTAGACACCTCTGAAGGACTATTTTCAGAGACACCAAATCTTCACAATGAGTGAAAAGTTTCATTAGCAGTATCTAATTTAGACCTAGTATTTTCTGATACATGACATGTTATATGTTTATCTGCATATAAGCAATTCCTCAGAGCTCTAATGATGTAATTAATAAGAAGTTCACTCTATAAGGTAATTTAAAGCATTATCTTCAAATTTGTTGACTTCAAATTCTGCTGCTTAGCATTTCATTCTTCTGTAAGACTGTAAACTCAACAAAGACATTTAAAAAATTAAATGTTCTATAAAGTTTAAACAATATAAAATTGTAGAAAGGCAAAGACTGACAGTACTAGAAGACAATTCTTATTGAATATGAATCAATCCTTTCAGGTCTCTAGCACACAAAATAGGGTTAAGCAGTGATTAGTTCTCCCACAGTCATTTGATTTGTCTTAAAATATGCTTCAAAATGTAACCACTTCCATGTGCTTTGGTTTTATCCATGAACATTGCAAACAGCAGCTATCCCTAATACATAGCAACATGCATGGTCTACTACACTTAATAGATAGGTGCTTTAGAATTTCTACACACAAAAGGGCACTTACAATAGTATATGCAAGATGGCCATTCAAAAGGTGTACAGTGAGCACTTGCCATCTCTTTTTTCAGTTGGTGCCCTTGTGCAAGATTACATAGTCAGGCATTTTGCACTTTGCAATAAACATGAGAAGGAATTCTCGTATATCCCATGGCATACATTTGTAGTACAAAATCCATTAATTCTAACAAATATTAATGCATTTTTTCATGCACAGAAAGGAGAAAAAAAAGGCTGCTTAGATGCCTGTATTATACCACCAAAAATATGTTAATGATTTCCTGCTGACAAGCTAACCATACGTATGTAGCCAAAGTAATGTAATTAATTTTCCTAGAAAAATATAACCCAGATTTGTATGAGTAATGAGTCTATCTAGCACTAGGGACAGGTACCTTGAAAAGATAAAGTCCATGATGTAATGTAGAACAAAGTGCTATAAGTCCAGAAAAACCCTGACAAAGCAAAGTCGGCAAAGGTAACTTACGAAAACAACTTTGAATAGAATTGTTTTTTTATTACATGTCCTTTTCATGTTGTTCTTACTTCCAATTTTAGATAAATTAGCATTTTGACTGCCACTAAATAACTGTGTTTTCAACAAAATTACTAAGCTGAAATAGAACTTCAGCGGTCACCTGGAACTCATGCCTGTCTCTATTGCTTTGATGGTCCCATAAAATGATTTTCCATGACCTAAATCCTGTGATCTATGGTAATAATAGAAGGGTTCTTTACCTCATTATTTTTTTATTTTTTTTTTTGGTGGTACTGGGGTATGAATTTACCTCATTATTTAAATCAAAGTTTGTTTCCTCAGATGGAATTAAATGAAGGTTAAAAGGTGGGGAAAATAATATACATAAACTTGGAAAATGTCTCAACTTTACCAGTTCACATATGCTATCAACACCGGGGATTTGCATTCTGTTATCTTGCTAAGAAAACTACAACTCTGACTTGACTGCCTAAGACTAAACTGAATACAGAAACAGACACTCAAATAATATTCTGAATGGCAACAGAAAGTTGTATTAAAAAAAAAAGAGGAAGAAAATTTATTTCCCTTTATCTTGACTGGTAAAAAGTACAAAAGGTTGCCAGGAAGATGTAACCTCTCATAATCTCATTATGGTCACATATAATTTTAATTTTAGCTCCTACTGAATAGGGGGAAAAGAATCAGTCTCACACTTTTACCCCAACTATGCTTAACATTGAATTTCGTTGTCCTTGCAATTTCTTTTTTAAAATAGAAGATATCTCCATGTCATTCAAAACTTGAGGGTCTGCTCCCCCCAGCCTACTATGCAGATGTATGCATGCTGATCTCTAAAGAAATTTCAGGGCATGAACATTATGTTTGCCATTCTTCCTGAAGTCATCATAAAACTAACTACTCATTTAACTTTCTAACAGGAAGCTACTGATTGAAGAATTACTAGCTTCAGTCTTGACTTAATACTCTACACTTACACTTTGTAAATACCTTCTAAAAGAACAATGGAACAGGCACTTCCCATGAGCGCTGGAGCTGAGCACCAGAGCCAATGAGGGAGCCAAATGCCATCTCCCAGAGTGGGGCTCTAACAGGTAAAACCTTCAGCACATGAACCACATGGAGAAGGTCAGTGCCCAATCAACAAAGGCACCAAGTGGGCAATCTGCTGAGGAGAGCTGCAGGGACCCAGGGAGCAGAAGTGAAGCCACATCTTGCTATGAACGAAAACAAAACCCCTCCCTGGACCCAGTGGTGAACTTCCATGGAGGGCATGCATCCCCCCTACACCCTGGAGCAGAACAACTCCCACAGCAACCAGTGGAGAGCTCCAATTGAGTTCATGTGACCTCCAGCAGAAGACCTACAAGGAACATCGATTTTGCCCTCTGGTTCCCAAATTTCCTCTTTTGAACTCCCTCCTTTCCTCCCCTCTCACTGCAAGCATCACAAGACCGCAAGTGAAACACCTTTAAATTTATAACCCTAAACCTCTTTTCTCCTCCCCTTTCTACCACCTTGCCCAATTCATATTTTCTACCTGTCAACCACCAGAACAACTCCCTAGCTATCAACTTCCTTTCTCTTTGTCTACCCTCCCACAATCCTCATTCAATACCAATAATCCCAATAGATAAAGGGATTCCTAGCATTTTTTTTCTTTTTGTTTTTTGTTCTGTGTAGCTTGTATCTGTTGGTCTGTCTGCTCAACTTTCGCCAATAGTCTCCCCCCATTTCTCTCCTATTTTATTACCTACTTGATCTCTTCTATCCATTATAGTCCACCTATTAGTGCATTATATTAGCTCAGCCACTAACTGCTCCTACTCCATAAACTTTTCACCTCATTACCCACTACACGTTTCCCTCTGTCTCTGTCCGACCACAACTCCTGCTACCTTTAGCCTTCCAGGACCGTGGAGATTCATCTTTGCTCCAATTGAAAACTGAACATACTGTAACAGTAGAAGTAACCGATCTTCATCAGGGATTACTGTAACTTCAAGGCTGCAGTTCAATAACTGTGACAGCGTAAGTAGCTAAGCCTTCTTTCCCTATGTGGAACAGGGGATAGAATTCAATATCTTGAGAATAAGAAGCTGAAGGGATTGATATTGAGCACCAAATACAGAAGCACCCAATTACAATATAAAAACACTAAAGGACCTAACAGCACAGTTATATGGACCGTAACACAGTGATAGTGGGGGACCTGAATACCCCATTGTCATGAATAGATAGGTCATCCAAGCAAAAGATCAACAAGAAACTTCAGAGCTACGGCACATGTTAGACTGAATGGACAGTGTATTTCACTCAACCACCATGCAATACACATTCTTTTCTACAGATCATGGAATTTTCTCCAAAATAGATAGTTTAGGACACAACGCAAACCAAAAATTCAAGAAAATTGAAATAACCATCTGTATTATAGCAGATCACAATGGAATAAAACTAGATCTCAACAAAACAAGAAACCACAGTAAGTATCCAAACAAACTGAGACTGAACAACACACTGCTAAATGACTAATGGGTGACTGAGGACATATGGGAAGAAAACAAAAAGTTCCTAGAATCTATGAAAATGAAAACACAATCTACCAGACTCTGTGGAAGAGAGCAATGGCAAGACT